ATCCAAATTTAGCTCCATAGAATCCTTACATGGTTAAACAACAGAACTGGTTCTTGACCTGCTGTTGGGTTTAGTTCATCAGTTCATAAAAATAAACAAATAAATAAGGTTTGACTAAGTAAAAATGTGAGAAAATTGGACAAACCATCTGACTGAGAACAGCCAGAGTTTCAGGACTGCCGGAGGTCAAAGTTCTCACCGCTCCCTCTGGCAGAGCTGCACAAAACAGAAGAAGAAGAAAGTTTAATGATTCAGATCTAGAAGATAGCAGACCATGAACGTCTCAGCAGGAGATAAAAACACACAAAACATCCAAATGATCAAATATTCTCTAAAAGCAGCTCAGAGTTCCTGAAATCTGAATGGCTTCCTCTGATGATGAGATCTTCAGCTGACTCACCTTCCATCGCACTGACCAGAAGATGCATAGCATCCTTCACATTGGAAGACTCTTTGGACTTATCCAGGAGGTCCATGAGGGACGAGACGGCCTTAGACTTTGGACGCTCATAATCTCCTTTGCTGCTCTGATCCAGCTGAGATGAAGAGGAAAACAGTGAACCACAGCAAAGACATTCATATCTGAAGGAACACTGCCTAGGAAAATATAAAGGAGTTTAACTCTGTTCATCAGGATGAGAGGAGCATCAGCCGTACCGTTTCCTCCAGGAGGCTCAGAGCACCTCCTTCCTCCAGAACCTCTTGGAGTTTCTCTAGCAGGTTCTTGCAGGTCGACTCAGGAAGTTTTCGGAGCGGCTTTAGAAGAAACTCTTTAACCGAAACGCCTGCAGGAAAGACTATGAGCTCAGTTTCCAGAGCACGGACTGTGAAAGGTCTATATTAGATCCAGTAGGCTGGTTGTTTGTGATTCATGTTAAAAGTTCTCATAAATTAGCTGGAAATGGAGATAAAATAGATAACTTCAATTTTTGATGAATTGGGTTGAGCAAAGACATGCAACAGAATCAATATCCACCTCTAGTTACCATGATTAAGTTTTATTTATATTATATAGATATCCAAGTTTTTAAAAAAAAGATTTACAGGCAGGAAGGAAGAGAGCAAAAACAATTAGACTCTCAAAAAGGTGAAATTAAACTGGTTTTTAATTTAAAAAAAGACAAACATTTGCTGCTCATCAGATTCTTATTCACTTTAGATGATGGACTGTAATGGATGCATTACTTTAAAAGATGGAGAAAAATTAGAAAACAGAAATTATTAATTCTTTAGACAGAAGCCAAGAGATTTTAACACGGCCTTTCTGGTGAGGCAGAAATATAAAGCTGTGTTTCACCAACAGAGGCTGGAATCATGGCTTTAGCTACTTCTGTGTTTAACTGCTGCATAAATGTATATGAAATTAATCCAAAGCATGTTTCTGTGGTGAGAGAGCCTCTCTTACCTTCTCTGACCTGTTGCAATAGATCTGAGTCGATGCTGTCATGTGTGAGAAAACCTGGAAACAAATTAGATCATTGTTATTAATCAAAAGGTTACTTTGCACATGATGTTCAGATTAAATAAAGAAAATAAAACCTCCATGTTGTGAGCAAAACAGTTGTGGCAGTTTTTTCCGTTGTGACCCTAACTGCTCTGGAGGAAAAGCCACCTGCTCGGTGGATATCTGGGGTCTGTTTCATGAAGCAGGTTTACAGAAAACTCTAAGTTGCCTAAACATGAAAACAGGGAAACTCCGACCATTCTGGTTCACAAAGAGGTTTAATTAACCTGTCTCAGTCGCAATAATAATATTCTCCTCATAGCTAACCTGGTAGGGAGTAGCGGTGTAAATAATAATCGTTTTGTATCGATGCATCGATACGTCCGCAAGAGAATCGATTCATGTTTTTTTGTTTTTTTTCCTCTGGTCTATTTTTATTCATTTGCTCCTGGGCGTAATTCTCTTAGATTCATTAATACTGTGGGGGAAAAGGAATTACTTTAGGGCCAGGATTAGGATTCACTCGATGATAAAAACCTACTGAGCCCACATGAACAATCTGAAGCCCTTCTATGGGACTAATAGCTGCTAAT